GTTGGATTGCTGGTCCCAAGCATCCATTCTGGACCAATAGGCAGAGAATATATCTCCATCCCATTGACTCTAGACTTGGTCACATGACTGTCTTTGACCAATGGAATATGGATAGAAGTGATCATGTTCCAGTGCAGCAACTTTAAGAAGCATCACATCATCTCTTTCCTCCTCCAGCTCTCACCATAAAATAGCATATATCAGGTAGAAGCAGCAACTTCAGCCTGGGTTCTGGGAGGAGAGGATGCACAGAGCAGACATTCTGCCTGGCTGGAATCCAGCACAAATCTACAAAACCATGTAGTCTTCACTGCCCTCCAGCTGACATGTAGCATGAGTAATAAAGAAACCTTTGTGGTCATAAACTAAGAGTCAGTGGTTGGGGGATGTTTGTTATGCAGCATTAACTGCAGCCAAAGCTGATATATGCTATATATATGAGACAAGAAGGGAACAGACAGTGAAAACCTCACATGTCATGATTAGGAGTTGTGCACGAGGAGGGTCAACAGAATTTTGTAGTTGATGAAACTTCTCCATCTTTTTCAAAGCCAACCCTCCTCACTCCCTCCCACTCCTCCCAGTACCTTGCTCTATCAGCCATCCCTTCATTCTCCTGGACTGAATGCTTCCCCTGAGCATATAGTTCACTTGTCTTTTCCATCCTAAAATCCTTTTCTTCATCCTGTCTTCCTTCAACTATAGCTCAATTGCTCCCCTGACTTTCTCAAACAAACTTCCTCAAAGAGTTGACTCTACTCACCATCTCCACTTCTTTCTATATCACCTACCAGCAATCTAGCTTACCTGCCCTCCACTCCACCAAAACTACTCACAGTATATTCCAGTAATTTCCTAATTGCTCTGTGCCATCCAGAGATCAAATTGCCAACAACCACTGGATCATTGAAAAAGCAAGAGAGTTCCAGAAAAACATCTATTTCTGCTTTATTGACTATGCCAAAGCCTTTGACTGTGTGGATCACAATAAACTGTGGAAAATTCTGGAAGAGATGGGAATACCAGACCACCTGACCCGCCTCTTGAGAAACCCGTATGCAGATCAGGAAGCAACAGTTAGAACTGGACATGGAAAAACAGACTGGTTCCAAATAGGAAAAGGAGTACGTCAAGACTGTATATTGTCACCCTGCTTACTTAACTTATATGCAGAGTACATCATGAGAAATGCTGGGCTGGAGGAAGCAAAAGCTGGAATCAAGGTTGCCAGGAGAAATATCAATAACCTCAGATATGCAGATGACACCACCCTTATGGCAGAAAGTGAAGAAAAACTAAAGAGCCTCTTGATGAAAGTGAAAAAGTTGGAAAACTTGATGAGAGTGAAAAATTTGGCTTAAAGCTCAACATTCAGAAAACTAAGATCATGGCATCTGGTCCCATCACTTCATGGCAAATAGATGGGGAAACAATGGGAACAGTGTCTGACTTTATTTTTCTGAGCTCCAAAATCACTGCAGATGGTGATTGCAGCCATGAAATTAAAAGACAGTTATTCCTTGGAAGGAAAGTTATGAACAACCTAGATAGCATATTAAAAAGCAGAGACATTACTTTGCCAACAAAGGTCCGTCTAGTCAAGGCTATGGTTTTTCCAGTAGTCATGTATGGATGTGAGAGTTGGACTATAAAGAAAGCTGAGCACAGAAGAATTGATGCTTTTGAACTGTGGTGTTGGAGAAGACTCTTGAGAGTCCCTTGGACTGCAAGGAGATCCAACCAGTCCATCCTGAAGGAGATCAGTCCTGAGTGTTCATTGGAAGGACTGATGTTGAAGCTGAAACTCCAATACTTTGGCCACCTCATGCGAAGAGCTGACTCATTTGAAAAGACCCTGATGCTGGGAAAGATTGAAGGCAGAAGGAGATGGGGATGACAGAGGATGAGATGGTTAGATGGCATCACTGACTCAATGGACATGGGTTTGGGTGGACTCTGGGAGTTGGTGATGGACAGGGAGGCCTGGCATGCTGTGGTTCATGGAGTCGCAGAGTCTGATACAACTGAGCAACTGAACTGAACTGATCCAGTCCTTATCTTCCTAGATTGCTCCACACCAGTTCGCTTGGAAATAAATTCAGCATCTCGCTGCACAACCTCAGACATTCCTCTCTCTGTATTCTCTCAGCTAGCAGCACCATTATTCATTCAGTGACCCATGACAGAAAGCCAACAGGAGATAATGAATTCTGTTCTGGATTTGTCCAGCCTGTATTGCCTTTGGGACATCCAAGAAGAGATACCCAAAGGGCACATGTTTAACTAAACATGTGAACTGGGGGCCTACAATAGAGATCTGAACTGGAGATAAAGATGATTGTTACAGAAGTAGCATAAAGCCATGAGTATGAGTCAACTTGCTTATTTACAGAGTACAAGGACCAGATCTTTAAATCTCTGTTCTGACATGAGAGAGCTCTTTCCTCAGCCCATAAATTCCTATTCCTAAAATCACAGTTCCAGCCACCATTTGGTCCCTTCCCTCAGGAGTCATGCCTCACAATGGCCTCCACTGTTGTTGCTGTTGTTCAGTTGCTAAGCCGTGGTCGGACTCTTTGCAATTGCAGGGACTGTAGCTCACCAGGCTCCTCTGTCCTTCACTATCTCCCCGAGTTTGCTCAGATTCATGGCCATTGAATCAGTGATGCTAACCAGCCATCTCATCCTCTGCTGACCCCTTCTCCTTTTGCCTTCAGTCTTTCTCAACATCAGGGTCTTTTCCAGTGAGTTGGCTCTTCACATCTTATTTCATATTCTTCACCCTGATCATGTTGTCTTCTCCAAGAACTCTTAAAATTCTATCATAAAAAGAGAAGGTATAAAATACTCCTACCCAGGCACTAAAAAAAGGCTAAAACAAAAAAGATGGACAATAACAAATCTTGACAAGGATGTGGAATAATTATGTCTTATACATTGCTATGGGAATGTAAAATGGTACCCTCTATGACCCCACAATTTCACTCCTCAGTGATAACAAATGACCACAAAAGACTTCTCTAAGAAATAATAGCCCAAATTGGAAATAACTCAAATATCCATCAACAGGAGAATAAACATGCAATGATGGTATATCCATAAAATGGAATACTACTCAGCAGTAAAAAGGAACAAACTACTCATATACACAACAACACGGGTGAATTTAACAAAAACTATGTCGAGTGAAATAAGCCAGACACGAAAAAGACACACAGTACAATTCCATGTATGTGATGTTCCAGAGCAGGCAAAATTAATCAGCGATGAGGAAAATCACCAACTGGTTGCTTGGAAGGGTGGAAGGAAATTCACTACAAATGGGAACCTTCTAGGATGATGCAAATATTTCATATCTCATTTTGGGTGGTGGTTACATGAGTGCAAACAACTGTCAAAACTTGGTAAACCCAGCACTTACAATCTGTCGATTTTATCATATGAAAATTATACTCTAGTTAAAACTTAGGAAAAGAAAATAATTGTAAAGTATATAGAAAATAAAAACTAAAATAATGAGAATATACAGGGCAGAAAAGGTGGCTCAGTGGTAAAGAAGTTTGATCACTGGGTCAGGAAGATCCCCTGGAGGAGGAAGTGGCAACCCATTCCAGTATTCTTGCCTGGAGAATCCCATGGACAGGGGGGCCTGGCGGGATGCAGTCCATGGGGTTGCCAAAGAGTCCAATTCGACTTAGTGATTGAGTGCCCATGAATGCACAGGGCAGAAAACATTCAGTTAAAATACAAGTATATTTATGCTATGAATGCACCTATATAAATGTCAGCCCCACCCCCTTAACCTAGTCGCCCTTTCAGTCATTCTCCCCTCACCCTTGCCCCCATCTCCATGACAATTGCCCATTAATCAGTTTCTCGCCATCATGAGGGATGATGCAATGCAAAGAGCAGAAGCCTTAGAGACAGACAGCTGCTTTCAAACCCCAGCTGCAATTTAGGAACTGAGTGCCCACCATCAAGTGACTTCGTCTCTCAGCCTCCATCGCCTCAACGATAAGGTCGGTTGATACCTGTTGGGCTGGGCTAAGCAAGCTGCAGTGTGCTGATTAGTTTGTGGACAACCTAACTCTTTTGACTGTGAAACCAAATTGCATGTGAAAGTCTCAAGGAAGGCCTGGAAATGCTTAGCAAAGGAGACTCCCGGGCTGTTTCTCCCCGGAGGGTAGAGAGGTGGCCCTGGGGGTCCTGGAGTTAGGGTCCGGGTGGGCAGATGATAAAAGCTGAGGCACTGGCCCAGAGCCACCAGAGCCAAGAAAAGGTGTTCTTGACCAATGACTAAGGACACAGGCTTCCTGCAAGGCTTGGCCACTGGTGGGCCTTGCCCAAATCACTTTGCACACCTCTAGATTCAGTTGCTCCACCAAAAGGGGCCAGATCAGACTGGATCTGAAGAATCTGATACTGAAAACAGCCTCCGGGGTTTCCCAGTATCTAGAGGAGGCAAAGGCAGACCTGAACTCGTTCTGTCTGAAAGATGGAAGGGAAAGATCAGCGCCCAGCCGCTCAGGCTCCCCTCCCCCACCATGGTGCCCCTTGAGCCAGGCCTCTGGACTCTAAGACTCTCAGGGGCAAAGTCTGAAATCTCCCTAAGCAGATGAACCCGAGGGACGTCTGCAGCGCTAGCTTGTTCGGTCATTGTGCACCTGTTCCATGTAACAATAACTAAGAATCTGCACCTGCCCCCTCCCCCTCAACGTGGTAGGGAATGCAAGGAAGACCCAGAAATGACTCCCAGGAAGGAAGAAAGAACTTCGCGTAGCCCAAGAGGTGCAGAAGGACGACAGAACACCCACAACCTCCCCCCAGGTACACGCGACCCCCCACCCACCCCAGCCCCGCTGCCCTTCTCATTTCCTTACTCACAGCTGTCTCTATTTCGTGGTCGCGGAAACGGAGGCTCTCTCTGGGAAAGGGTTTCCCAGCTAGGAAGCAGCGAGGCCAGATGCTCCCCGCCCCACCTCCGGCCCCTGGAGACCCACCCATTTCTAAGTAAACGGAGGAGGCCAGGAGGCCTGCTGAGGAGGAGCGCAAACGACAAGCAAAGCCACCAACGCCGCCGCAGGGACTCGGGTCTCGCCTCCGCAGAGAGGAGCGCGCTGGCTGACAAACCTCCGCGTCTCCGTCCCTCCCCTCCCCAGCCCGCGGGAAGACTGAGAATCTCAAGTCGCTCTGCTTTCTCTCTTTGCGTGCTGACATTTTTTTCCACTTTACTGTTTCTTGGACGCCTTTCAAGAGTTTGTGCAATCATTCTGTTTAGCTGCTTTTCTGCCATTTTCAAACGCAGGGTGGTGTCCCTTTGGAGTGGGAACGTGGTCTGAAGACTTGAAGGGCCCCGATCGCCTCCCATCACCCCGACGCCTCCAGCCTCGTAGCTGCCAAAGTTACTACGTTTGAAACTTTCCCCGTGCTGGGTGTTGGGCTTGGTCCTCGGCTTTCTGAGCTCCCCGACCTCTCCCTCTCGGCGCCCCGGCTCTGAGGGGTTCCTGCCCCTCCCTCGCCCTCCCAGGAACCCCCTTCCCGGAGGGATCCTCTTCCCACCCTGTCCAGGGCGAGGGCGCCCCTTCCCTCCTCCTGCCCCGTAGATGGGGCAGAGCCCTCCCTCCTTCCGAGACTTCCTCGGTGGTCCCGCCCTGCGCCCCCTGAGCCTGCCTTCTCCCGTCTCCGCCCGCCCCGGACCCCGTGGGAAGCTCTGCCTGCAGCCCTTCCAGAGGCCCGAGTCTGAAAGGCTGGGCAGAGGCTGCGACGGGGACGGGATGGGACAGAGACCGGGTCAGAGTTAGGAACCGCGGGAGCGATCAGAACAAAAGCGGGGACACGGGCAGGGCAGCAACAGGGCAGGGCCGGCGCGGCGGCCCGTCCTCTCGTCGCGCCGGCGCCGGCCGCCCGGGGGCTCGCGGCCTCGGGGGCCTCGGGCGGCGCCTCGAGGGACCCACCTGATCCGCAGAAGCTAGGCGCGTTGGGGGCTGGCCGGCGCCTCGGCTCCCGGCCCCGGCGGCGTCCTCGGCTGCCCGAACAGTCGGCGCGCTGCCTCCGCCCGAGCCCCGCGGGGCGTGCCCGGGCGGGGTGTGCCGCCTGCGCTCCTGTCGGCCGGCCGCCGGGTGCTCCTCCGGGGCGGCGGGCAGGGGCGCGAGGGAGCCGGCGGGCGCTGGGCAGCGGGCTGCAAGCTCCCCGCTCGGGCCGGCCCGCGGCTGTTTGTGCAGAGCGGGTCCCGCCCCGGACACGGCCGCTGGGAGGCCCGGCGCGCTAGTGCGCGAGTGCCGGCGCGCGTGTGTGTCTGGTGGCGGGGCGGCGCAGGGGGTGTTTGTTTCATTTTCACTCAGGCAGAAAAAAGCCTGAAACCAGCAAAAAAAGAAAAGACAATCCCTGGTGAGGGTGGCTGGGCCTCTTTGCCTTCTTGGGCCTGCGCGTGGTGGGGGTGGCCGGGGCGGGGGCGCGGGGGGTACCCGGAGCATCGGAGGGTGGGGTGGGGCCTGTCACCCAGGACCGCGGGGAGGGGCCCCGAAGCCCTGGCGTCCCGCCAGACACGAGGGAAGCGGAGAGCCTGGGAGGTCTGATCCACCGTTTGTTTCCTGGGGAAGGAAGGGTGCAGATGACAGCGACAGGCAGGCAGGCGGGAGCCACTCTCTCCGGAGCCCCCCACATCCTGAGCTCCGAACTGGAGGGGATGGCCACTGGGCACCTAGCGCCGGCCCTGCCAGGGTTTGTTCGCAGACTTAGTAGTCTTCAGGCCCAGAGTTCCTCAAACAGAATTCTGCACAGGCCCTGTGGTTCTCCATTAGAATTATTTTAGAACGGAACTGGAAAAAAAAAAAAATCTATTTCAAAGTTTGTGCTTCTGAGCCCGGCGTGACTACATTTCACTTCTGGTGAGTTGATGTAGGCACATCCGGCTGACTTAGTTCTATGCTGGTAGCCACAACAATTATCTCACTTCTTGGGTTCCAGACCATATATTTTGCTGGTGCAAAACTCAAAATTTTATTTGGCAGGGATCATTTGCCTTTGAACTTCAACTTCAGGGGCTAAGAAATTAGCTTCTTGAATATTTTAATGCATTGAAACTGTAGTTTGACACCATGAAAATGGCACAGAGCCTGGTTATGGTGTATCATTTTAATTGTTTCATGCTAATGAGCAATGAACAGAGCCCTGATCAAATATTTGAGGGATGTAAGAGGCTGCAGGAGGCCAAGTGACTTCTGGAAACTTGAAGAGGATGAAGTTTCCTGATGGTTCTAAAACCTTCTACCTCAGATTTGGACTTGAACCCAGCCAAAACCCAGTTTGGGACTTGAACCCACGTGACTGGGACTCAGACCCAGCCAAGATGCCAAGTACCTGGTTTCAGGACCTAATGAAGCTCAGGTTCTTGATGTCTCATCACAGAGAGAATTCAGTGAGAGACAAAGTCGTAGGTAAGAAGTGAATTTATTCACATATAGAAAGCAGCACACTCCACAGACAGTGTGGGCCATTGCAGAGGGCAAACTGGGCCACGAAATTTGGTGTGGTTCATTTTTATAGGTTGGGTAATTTCATATGCTAATGAGTGAGAGGATTATTCCAACTATTGTTGAGAAGGGTTGGAGGTGTCCAGGTTGTGGGCCATCGCCCACTGCTTGGTTTTTTAACAGTGCTGTGGAGCTGTCATGGCGCCTCTGGGTGTGTCGTTTCGCTTGTTGATTGAGGATTAAGGTCTAGTCTTCTCTGCCTCTTTGGTTTCATTTGATTCTAATCTGTTTATGTTGTATCCTTGGGCTATGTCTTTCAAAAGTTGTGCCCTGCTCCTTTCCCTCCTGTTACAGTTCCAGTGGAGTAAACGGTGGGAGAATTGAATCATCAACCCCACAGGGTTGCTCAGGAAGGAGGTGTTCCGTGACAATCAGCACAACAGATCCTTTACAAAATCACAAAGTGCTCCACTGTTGTCTTGGATGAACTCACTTGTAATAGTTCTTTAGTGGTGAGTATCACAGTAAATATACGAGTGATGTTATACCAAGTGCATCATTCCCCATGTTTTCATTATTGCATCTGAGGATGCATTGTTTCCATTGTTCAGTCCATCAAATTGGACAATAAATGAGTGTGGTTTTTTTTTTTAAGAAAACTGTGACAGTAATTCAAGTGGCTCAAATGATAGCTCGTCGTGATCAAAATCAAAAGACGAGGACACAGGAAATGGAACATGTAAAAACATCACTCCGCTACTATTAAACTCAATGCAAGAGGTTTAATTTCATCATCAGTCACATTAATTTAATGTTGTTACTGTGGATTTTATTGGTTCTGAGGTTGCATTTGTATCTACTTAGAAAGCTTGTTTTGGTTTTACAGTTGGTTTATAGAGTGTGAGCATGACAGCTTCCTGGTTAATTTTAGGTTATTTCAGTAGCAATAAAGTAAAAATAATTTCAGTCAATACTATGGATCTGGATTTGTTTGTTTGTTTTGGGAAGAGCTATATAGTTCTCAGGACTTCTTCCCTGGTGGCTGGCTCAGCAGTAATCTGCCTGCAATCCTGGAGACTCAGGTTTGATCCCTGGGTCAGGTAGATCCCTTGGAGGAAGGCATGGCAACCCACTCCAGTATTCTTGCCTGGAGAATCCCATGAACAGAGGCACCTGGTGGGCTATGGTCCATAGGGTCACAAAGAGTCAGACACAACTAAAGCGACTGAGCATGTATGCACACACATATAGCTCTCAAAATCTAACTGGCCGTTCTACTGACTGGCTGAGCTGGAAAACACCTTGAAGATTACATACATTAGCTTTGGGTGGAAACTTCTAGGTTTAAGGTCTTAGATGAGTCATTCTTACTGTCTGAGACTACTTTTCATCACATACTGAAAGGTGACTAGTTCATGGGAGAGGCGAAATCAAAATGGGATAATATTGGGGAAAGGGCTTTGGAATCACAGGAGTGTGAGGCTGAATATTGACAGAGGGGAAGGATGAGGCAGGTAAGCACAGGTAGCTCTGATGGCTTGCCAGGCATCGCTCCAGGTGCCTCACATACTTCAGCTCATGTCATCCTTTGTGCATGCTAATCACATCCCCTGATTTCCAGAAAAGAAAGCCAAGGCAGAGGCAAGTTAGGTAACTTTTGTTCCCCATCTCTCTAGGACTAACCAAAGTGCTCTGAATCCAGAAGGCCTTCCTCATTCTTTTAACAAATACTTACTGGGACCTCAGTATCTGTCAGCCCCTGATCTTCAAGCTGAGGATATCAAGGTAAGCATGTAGCATCATAGTCCTAGGGGATGGCTGCAGCCCAAATATTAAAACAAGACCCACCCAATGAATGATTTGGGGACCATTATGATCAGGGCTCTGAGGGAGAAATACAGGGTGCAGGGGACCCTGAGACCAGAAGAAGGAGTAGTTCACCAGGTGAAGACTTAGGGCAGAGTGACCCAAGCAGAGCCAAAGTCTTTAGCAGGGAGGAAAAAGAGCCATGAGTGTGTGCTGGAAAGCTTCAGCATCACAAAGATAGCCATTTTCTGCCAATCAACCTATAGGATCAAAACAAATCCCAGCAGAGTTTTGTGGAACTTAGCAAGCCGCTCTTAAAACCTGAATGGAAGAGCAAAGGGCCAAGTGTAACCAAGACAGTCTTGACTGAGCAGGGAGGTGAGAGATGGGCTGTTGTTCAGCCAAATGTCAAGACACACCATGAAACTCTAACAGCATAGGGTTGGTGCCAGGATGGATTATTGGACTAAGGGAACGAAATAAGGAGCCTAGAAAGAGACCCACATGCATGTGGAAACAGTGTAGGCCAGAAATGGGGCTACAGATCAGCGGAGAAAGAATAGACTTCAGAGAGTCTTGCTGAGCCCAAAAGAATTGGAAACAGGTGGGCAAACAAAAACTTGCACAAGCATATTCATGGCACCGCTATTTATAACAGCAGAAAGGTGAAAACAATCCAAGTGTCCTTCAAGCAATGACTGGATAAAGAAAACATGGTACATCCATACAATGGAATATTATTTGGCATAAAAAGGAATGAAATACTGATTCATGTTACCACGTGGATGAGCCTTGAAAACATTGTGCTAAGTGAAATAAACCAGACACAAAAGGCCATGTATTATATGACTCAATTTTATGGAAATATCCAAAATAGGCGAATTCATAGAGACAGAAAGCAGATAATGGTTACCAGGGGCTTGGGGAGGGAGCATGGGA